TAAAGCAGAAGGATCAGGAGTTTGAAGCCAGCCTATCTCAAAACAAACATAAATAACTACACACACACACACGTGCACGCACGCACGCACGCACACACACACCAGAAGCAAGGAGGTCAACCAACAAGATATTTAACAGTCCCCTGAGAAATGACACCTGCTTTGGAAAAATGAAGAGACTTACTATCTGTTTTAGAGACAGCCAGAATTGCTAGCAGATCGGATGTGGGGTGTGAGGACATGACAGGTACTCAGTGGCATGGAAGCTGGTCCCCGTCACTCATACAGAAGCCTGAAGGAAGAACAGATTCGGACAGGCAAGCAGAAGACTCTCTTGGCTCCCACTTTGAAATTTCTGTTAACTATCCCAAGAAAGAGGATGAGCAAACAGGTATGTAAGTGAGGGAGGGCATTATTTAGCACTCTTTCTGAATGCGCAACCAGGTTTCTCAGATAGAAAGCCAGGAAATTCTATAAATTACTTCTGAAATTGCATTTAATGCATGAAACCCTTCAAGTTATACCCAGCCTTGTGTGAGGTTTCCTTGGGCCAGCTGGACATACCCACCAGACTCATGATCGCCATGTTTCCAGGGTCTTAGTGTTTAGCCTGCGTGCCAGCCTTTACTTCTCAGACTAGGTAGGCATGGAAGAGCTGAGGCCAAGAATGTTGCAAGCTGCTCTTTGTCATCCACTTACACTTCAATTTGTCATGTTCTCTTTTTAATTCTGGTTGATCTTTAGCTGACTCAGTGACATTTCCAGTTTCTGCCCCCCCCCGCCTTTATCACTTTTGTCTGTTGGAGTCTTCTCTAACTAGTCTTTATCCCATGAAGCCTTTCAAGAATAAAGTGAACAAAATGGTTTTTAAATTATTTGGGGGCTGCTTCTGAGTTGCTGGGGAAGTGCTCCTTTTCCTTCCAGAAACTTCAGAATGAAAGCAGAGAGCTAGACAGATAGGAGGCCTGTTTGGAGGGAATGCCTACTGTGTGTGTGTGTGTGTGTGTGTGTGTGTGTGTGTGTGTGTGTGTGTATGTGTATGTGTGTGTGTGCTGGCTTTCTCCTTTTACCATGTGAATTCTGGGTATTGAATTTAACTTGTCCATCTTGTTGCCACAGATCTTTACTGTAATGGAACCAGCTATACTTTCCCCCCCTTTATTCTTTTAGATGTGGTGGCCCGATGGGCTGGGCTAATACGGGCATCCAGATCCAAGAGCTTTATCATTCAATAGATGATGGCCTTGGGCCTGACCCAGGTCTGGTAGAGCAGCGGAGACCATCTTTCTCTCCGCAGGCTGAGGGGGAAACTCCCATGAGGAACAGCACAGTGGGAGGAGTCCAGTATGCCCAATTCTCCTGTCCCAATTTATTCTCCATCACCAGATATGCAGATTAGGAGGTGAGGAAATAGTTCTTCCTGTAAAACCCCGGGTGGAGAGAGGTCGTTCTCTTGACAGGAAATGAAACATGTACTCTTGACCCGCTGACTGGTATGATGGCTGAACCCTCATAAACTCTGTCACTGGTTAGCAGTTGTAGAATAATTCCTTGTCATTTGTGAAGACATTAAAAGGGGGTTAGTACCCACCTTGTGAGATGACCCAGGACTGTCCTGCTTGACTTAGAATAAACATTTGATAAAGATGTGCTACCAGCAGAGTGCCAATAAGTGCCTATTCCCCTTCTTAGGTAAGGTGCGTGTGTGTGTGGGGGGGGGGGCTATGCAGATAGGGTTAATCTCAGCAGATGGAAGCCTCGAAGGCCTGTTAACAGCTATGCTATACCATCGATCTTGAGTGTTGCCCAAAGGTCCATATGCCAAAGGCTTGGTCCCCAGCTGAGTGCTGTTGAGAAGCGCTAAGAACTTTAAGACCTGGGGCCTGCAGAGAGGTCTCTGGTGACCCCGAGCACGCGCTCAAAAGGGGTGGTACGAGAAGGGTCTTTCTGTCATCTAGAGAACTCCTTAATTGATCTCTTCACTTTCATTTCCTTGGTTAGGCTTGCTGTGGGTGTGTATGTGCGTGTGCAGTCAGTGGCATTGTTACCCTGATTTCTATTTTTGCATGTAATCGGTATATTTAAAGCCTAGTGATCTTTGTGCAGTTTGTATCCTGCCACTTTGTAGAATGTATTCATCGGCTCCTACAGGTTTTGATGGTGAAGGCTGTAAGATCTCTTATATATATAGATTCAAATAGAAACACCACCTCTCCAACACCCCCTCCCCCCATGTGCCCTGTCATTTGTATTTCTTTGGTTTCTTTCTCTTTCCTTATTGCCCTAAGACTTCAAGCACTCTATTGACTAGGGGTGGACAGAGTGGACAATCTCGTCTTGTTCTGATTTTCATGGGAATGCCTTTTTTCTAATAGCCTGATGTTGGCTAGAGGTTTGTTATCTATATGTGGCTCCTGGGATGATCCCCAGGCCTCAGCGGATGGCTTCATATGTGCATCTAGGCAACACTAACTGGACCCAGTGGATTATTTTTAAGAAGCAAAAAAGAAAGAAAATGAAGTTCAGAGGTATATGTGTTGGAGGGAACCTAGAGGGAGTGGAAGAGCAGAGGGAGAGATTGTTAAGATACATTGTACATGTTTCCAAAAACAAACAAAAATACTTTTAAAAAGAGGTAGAAGAGATTGAAGAGACCTGGCCTTCTGTCCCCTAGCCATGAGGTGAGCCACCTTCCTATAACACACGCCCCACCATCTTGTGTTGTTCCACCACAGGTCCCCAGACAACAGGATCAACTGATCACGGTCTGACATTTCCACAACCGTGAGCAGACATACACCGCTCCTCTTTATAAATTGTCTCTGGTGTTTGTTACACTAATGAGAAACAAACACAATACAGAAATAAAAATTATCTTCCGGGCTGAGAGGGGCGGCCCAGTGCTAGTCTCTGCTTAGCTCCCACTTGGTCCTGGGTGTCATGCCCAGCTCACACACTGCACATGCTGCTGCCCAGGCAGCAGTATTCCTCGCTGTAAATGCCTGCTGGGGATCGTATTTCAGTGAGACCACATCTAAGTAGGATGTGCCAAAAAGCTGATCTTGGGTAGGGGTCAAGTAAACGGCTTCAGTTCTTCTTCAGGGAGGGATGCCAACAGTGTGGGGAAGTAGCTTAGTAGTAGAACAATTTGCCTAGTAAGCACAAAGCCTGGATTCACTCACCAGCACTTAAAAAAAATAGCCTCTTTTATTTTTGGTTTTGTTTTGATTTTTTTGTTTGTTTTTCAAAGAGAGTCACTATTAAAGCCTAGGATAATAGTTCTGAGTCCTCCAGGGGTTAAAGCTATGTCTTGCCTCAATCTGAAGCAATGCATAGGCCAGGAGGTACAGCTGTGTGGAACACAAAGAGCTACTCGCTTTGGAATCTAACACCTGGAGCTTACCTGGCAGAGCCCCAGTGAGGCTGGGGAGCTGGGCAACACCGAGGGGCTGGGAAAACCCCACACTCCTCAGACCCACCACTGTAACCATGCGATACCAGCTCCCCTCTGGGAACAAAGCCCCCTGCCCCTTCCCTGACAGCCTTTGTTGAACATCCCCGCCTTACTCCAGAGCCACTGGAGCTTTGGAGCCCGCGGCTCAACACCCTGCAGTTTTAGCCCAGGGTCTTATTTACTTTCTCTATGTGAGGTAACTAGTATTTAGCCAGAAGCCCTTCCTCTGAGACAGTCATAGATTGGGGGCGGCTAACTCCAGAAAAATAAACCCAGCCCCTAGCAGGAAGAAAGAGCTTGCAGCACTTAGCTCTCTGTGTACCGGGATGCTCCTTCCCTCCCACTTGACCAAAGCAAATCTTTGCAGGAAAAGGAGGTGGCTGAAGGAGTCTGCATTTCTGATCTGTTACATTACTTTGTGAGGGCTCAGAACATTTTCACTCCCGGAATGGACCGGGAGGTACAACAGCTGCACCCCAAACTACGTGTAGGGGGGCATCCTGGTTACCTTAGCACACCAGGCGCATACATAAGCTAGGGCTTGAAGGGCCAAGTGCTGTATTCTTTAAGGAGCAGTAGAAGGCTAAGGACAGGTTACAGGAATGGCTTGTGGAACTAGGAGTCGTATTAAAATAGGACCTGGCAGGAGGTGTGTGTTCAGCTTTTCTTTTTAAAACTGAAGTCGTGCCGGGCGGTGGTGGCGCACGCCTTTAATCCCAGCACTCGGGAGGCAGAGGCAGGCGGATCTCTGTGAGTTCGAGACCAGCCTGGTCTACAAGAGCTAGTTCCAGGACAGGCTCCAAAACCACAGAGAAACCCTGTCTCGAAAAACCACAAAAAATAAAAAAAAAAAAAAAATAAAACTGAAGTCGTATTCTAGAGTCTAACTAGCCATTCCTTCCCGTCTTGTAGTCTTGCCTACCCCAGAGCCTCCATCCTACAAAAGTCCTTAAACAACACCCAACTTTTCAAAAGCCGAGCCTTTTCAGGACATCTCAAAGAGTAAGGCAGGGTAGTTAAAGACCGTTTTGCCTGCTGCTATTCAACAAGGTCTTAAAACAAAGCTTGGACGTTTTCATCTTTTACTTCTGAATCCCATTTCAGAGCCTTCAAAAACCAGCATGTGGACCCCCGAAAAATATTCTATGCAGGTGACACTGGGACTTAGTGAGGGTAAATGACCACTTTAAGGTGTGGCAGTTCCTGCCAGGAAAGTGCCACGTAAGTAGCGGGGCTGGGTGTCACTTGACATTCAACAGAAGTGGAAGTAGCGGTGGCTTTGGCTCTAATTGCTTAATGATCTTGAGGAAGTGCTGGCAGGAGCCTTGCAGCCTGGTCACTGCCTGGCCAAGATCCCAAGGGGTCGCTGGTGGGGCCCCGGAAAGAAGCCGGGAGCGTCAATCATCCAAGGCCAGCTACCTGCCCGGCGCGCCGGGTCCAATGGGAGGAGCGCGCGAGCCGCACCTCAACCTGCCTGAAACGTCACGACGCCGAGGCTGACGTCAGGCCAATGGGAGGCCTTCCTAGCCAGGGGGCGGGGCCGTAGGAGTCGGGCCGCGGAGGCAGTTGGAGGAGTGTGTGGGTTCTCCTGCCCGGCAGCCGCGGAGCGCCCGCAGCTAGTCCGTCCCGGTCGCCGCGTCCCGCGTGGTGCAGGCTGCCCCGCTGAGCGGCGGCGGGAGCTGACGGACGCACCTCCCGGCACGCCAGGCTCGACGCTTCCCTTAGCCCGCACTTCCTCCTGCTGCAGCGCGGTGCCGGCTGGGCGGGCGGGATGGCGGCCCGAGGGAGCTGCCGGGCTCCGACGCGACGGCTGCTCTTGCTCCTGCTGCTTCCGCTGCTCTGGGCCCCGGTTGGGGTCCGCGCCGGCCCCGACGAAGACCTGAGCCACCGAAATCAGGAGCCGCCGGCGCCCGCCCAGCAGCTGCAGCCGCAGCCCGCGGCAGTGCAGGGCCTCGAGCCGGCCCGGGCCGAGGTGAGGGCCGCGGCTGGAGGGTACGGGGCGGGCGAGCCAGGAGCCGGCCGCCGGGTACCAGGCTCCGCCGCTGGCGGCGCCGCCCTCTTTCCGAGGCGACTGGGGGAGGGGAGCCGGCCCCTGCTAGCTTCGCTTGGGGTGGGGGGAGGGTGTTCGACTGTTTTTCCCAGGCGCGGCCTGGCCTCGCTTGACTGCTTGGGGGAAGGGAAAGGGAGAGCCCAGCCGGGGGTCCCCAGTGGTCCCCAAGATCCCCGGGATCGACGTGCTTGCTCCGGAGTCAGCGTTGTGCTGATCAGATGTGCCGTACTGGAAAGACTGGAAATACTCATCCGGAGTAGAAAGTTTTTAGCACAGAGCAGCTGGGAGACTTTAGCTTGTCAAAGGGTCATCATCACACATGATCTTCCACATCATTGTGGAAGCAGTCCAGTCGGAGATGCTCACCCAAGCTCAGCTTGGTTCTTTGCCAAATATTGGTCTAGAGATCATGCATTGCTGGCCTCCCTTTTTTAAAAACCATGCTTTGGCTTGAGGGAAGTGGCCCTTAAAGAACGCAGAGACCTGTGTCTGATGGTAGGGTGGGGGATTCTAAAAACTACATTTACGTTCACCACATAGATATAGATTAACCTTTTAATCTATGTTCGTAGAATTTCTCCTTTCTAAGACACTCTTCTCTGTCTTGGGCTCTCTTATTTCCAGTTTTGACTCATACATTCTGGAGTTTTTAGTCTGTCAGTAGGGTCCATTTTGGCATTCAGTTTCCTGCCCCAGTCTATGCCCCCTAATTCACTGAACTCAAAACTCTTAAGAGAATGGCTCTGTTCTGACCTCAGTCATATGACAGGTTGGATATTCACGTTTCTTCATCACCCAGTTCCAGCCAACTTCTAGGTCTTTTAGGGACCCACCACACCCTCCCTCTTTTCTGAAACCGCCGCTTCCAGATCTGAGACCTGGCATGTGCTCTCTTGCCAGTCCCTCTTAAACAAAGGCCTTACAACAGAATTCAAGCTTGAAGCCTGCGGGTCAGAACCCTTCCCATCTTCAAGAGCCAACAGAAACCTCTGGAGCCTTTCCCAAGCTGCTCTTCGGAAGAGATCATTCTCTGAGTAATGGGTGTTTTCATTTCCCCACGGTTCATATTACACTGGCCTTTCCCGGATTTTGTTTTCTATGCAGTTACCGGGAGGTGGGAATGTCTGCGATTCTGAGTTTGCCTTTACACAGCAAGTACTTTCTAAGAATCACCTGCCCAGAGTGTAGTAATCGGTTTTGAGAAATAAGGAAAGATTCTCCTTACTGGAAGTGCTCAGGAAGAAGTTAAATCAATAGCCACCTGTTAGGCGATTTCATTGGTGTGACGTTAAGATTTGGGGAGCTGATTTCAGCCATATGTGGCTGTTAAGCAGGTAGAGCAGGTGACATTTCCTGGTTGTGGATGGGGCGGCCTAGGTTTGGGTGGTTTAATGTCCATTATCCCAGCCAGAGTTAGAAGCCAGATCCTGCTTCTCATCTCCCGGGTGCTCTTAGCAGAGTTTGAAGCCAGGTCCTGCTTCTCATCTTCCGGGTGCTCTTAGCAGTTCTTAGCCTTTTGTTTAATTCTAATGCATTTTAGTTGTTGCTGGATTGTATATTGCTGTAAGCCTTTGATCTTGATGACTTATACCCCCTTGCCTCCTTCCCTTTGAGGGACTTTACTATTTTATCTATTCTTAATACTTGCAGTTCTGACTTGGTTTTTTAAAACTTGTATACATGTTGTCTGCCCTTGCAGCATGTTAATGTCTAGAGAGTGTTGTTATCTTACTCCTCTTGGTCTCTTTCCTAAGACCTTGTATTTTTTTATTTTTGTATTTTATTAGTTGTTGGCTAAGTAATTTTCTAAGAGGAAGATCTAAGATTTTACATTTTAGTTCCTTTCGGGTTTTAAATACCTTTATGGAAGATGTATAAAATGAACTTGAGCAGGAAAAACTATCTTAACAGTATACATCCAGGCTTTTACTTGCTAAAGGGTTTACTAGGTGAAGTTAAGGAAACTCAGCTTCATCCTCTGTTGTGATTTTGTTCATTAATGGACTGGTTTTAACTTAGAAATTGAATTGCAGTAGATTATATAGATGTTAATGCTGGGACCCTTGTAAAGTTTAAAGTGCAAGCGCGCATGCGCACAGTCACACACATATGCACGCATGCTCAGTGTGTGTGTGGGGTCAGGAGTGTTTGAAATCAAGAGTAATAAATTGCCTCTGATTGCAGTACAGATCAGATGGCCCATGTAGAAGTGGGAGTCACTGGCTCTCAGAAGCCAGGGGCTCTAGTTCTTTGGCATAGAGGCATTTGGTGGAGCGGGTTTTCCCTGTCCTGTCTTCTACCTGCACTGCCTCCTCCAACCGTAGATCCGCAGCATCGCTGCCATTCAGATGACTGCATTCATGGTCTGGCTGGTCTGTCCCTACTCTATACATCTTCTGAACCAACTCCAAAACGCTGAGTCGTGAACTTTCTTCTTTGTGTTCATCATTGAGCCTGCTGCCACATACTTGAGCATCAGAAGCCTGCTTTAAAACAGCGCCCCCCACCCCACCCCCCTGGGAGTGAAATAACCAAATGCAAGAGTGCAATTTATGAATGTATAACTTTCTAGGCATTTCATGGTCGCTGTGGTCATTAACAATTTTTAAGGCAGAAATGGTGGCAGGCACAGTTACAGTTAGTTACTGCAGTCCTTTGAGGATGCTGGAGATAATCTTACTGTGTTAAGGTCACAGTCTGTTGGCCTCACTTAAGTGGTCTTATGGATGTCTGACTTTACAGCTAATGGTTGGAGGGAAAGTGCAGACACTCTGGGTTTTGTCTTAATATTTTCATAAGTATTGGTGTTCTTTTCCATTAGGAATTGATGATTTACACTTAGTAGCAAAACTGTCTCATTTTAATTATATTTTTGTATAACTTTTTGCTGTAGCTCAAATATTTCTTACAGTACTAGAATACATTGAAAATTTTCTTCTTTCATGTTTCTTAACTGTTTAATAAAAGTATCACTTGCTTCTGTGTGACATAAATGACCAAAGCACAGTTTAACAACCATATAAGCCAGGATTCATATCTGTTGAGTATCTGGGTTTCAGCTGACTTTGCAACTATATGCAGTAGTAGTTTTAAAAGGATGAGATATTTAAATTTAACCTTTGAGGCCACTGCCTCAAGTTGAGAGTGGACTGGGAAAATCTTGTCTTCATTGGCAGGTGTTTGGGTGGAAGAGACAGCACGAACAAGTGGCTGTATCTTACTGGGAGAAGTGAGCTGGCAGAACTTTCAGACGGGGCTCTTGTGTTGAGTGTTCTTTGTCTTTAGAACCTGGTTAGGAAGAAGCCAGGTGGTGATGTACAGTTGTCCCAGCCCTCAGGAGGTCGAGGAGGAGCAGAGGGGTTCTCTTTGATCATACAGTCATGAACAAATCACAGTTTTTGTGCTCCAGATAGTGACCTAAGTTTGCTCTTATTTTTTCTATTTCTTTCCTGGGCAGAGTATAGATGATAAATATTCTGAAGTTGAAGAAACTGTTCTGGCTGTGTAGCACTGTTGGTAGACCTACAAAAATCTTGTTACCCGTCCTGCCCAGGTTCATGTTTTCACACCACTTCTTGCTGTTCTGTTACATATTTGCTGTGAGAAAACTTCCACAGAATCGTTTGTTTTCCCCATTTTCATTAAACGGCATTCTTCCTCCATACTGTCAGACGCCCAGATTAGCCTCTGCATGGCTGTGACTGACACTTTAGGCTGTGACGACTGTTTCCTATAGTGCCCTCTGCCTGAAATAGTGCTTTGGTACTCCATTTATTTGGTGTTATGTCAGCAAAAGAACTTTATTAAGAAAAATCAGTAATACTAAGTGTGTAATATGCTTCAAATATATAAATACATAGTAGAATGGCAATGTCCGTAAACAAGTTGCTAAATGTTAATAAAAAATAAATTTAAAATATATACTCTTAATAGGAGTCAAATGTAACATTAGTAAAAATAAAAGAATATTTAGATCATCTAATGAAATCATCCAGAAAGACTTAGACATTGCAATGAAAACTTGTAATAAAATGCCTTCATCTGGCCATGGTGGCACACACCTCTATAACCCCTGGATGGAGTTTGGCTCTGTTGGTACATATTGCTCTGTTACAGATCCAGCTGCATAGCAAGATGCTGCTCCTACCCAGTCTCTAATTGGGATCTTTTAGTGCTGGCTTTGTCTGCAGGGCCATTGTTTTAGGTTGCGTAGCTTTTGGCTTTTTGTCATTTGCACACAGTGATATTTCTAAACCTGTTCTGACTCTGTCAGTAGTGTTGAGGCTGAGCTAGTCCTAAGTGTTGTCCCAGATTCCATTATCTCACGTGGTGTCACCTCTTATTTAATAACCTTTTATATATCTTTCTTTATTATACACACACACAAAATCTGAAGGGGTGGAATCAGTTTTTAGCAGCAAGCTTGTTTCCATGCAAGCATCTTCCTGGTTTCATCATGAATAAAAGGAGAATTTAGTAAGTCATGTTTGTGTTCATTAAATTCTACGGTTAGAATTGGTTAGAATACAGTTCTCTCTCTCTTTGTTGTCATTTTCTCGTGAGGATAATGTTATGGTGATGCATACCTATAATCTCAGCACTGGGGAAGCTACAATAAGAGGTTTCAAGTTGAGTGCAGCCTAGCCTATATAGAGAGGCTGGTTCTCCAGTAACCAGTTTCCTTCCTTCCTTCCTTCCTTCCTTCCTTCCTTCCTTCCTTTATTTTATTTTTATTTTTTGATTCTTCATCTAAGACAGCTAAGAAGATGGTTTATTGTACACGAGTTACACTTGGCCACAAGTGAGAACGGAACTAGTCCAGAATGCCATAGGTCCAGGGCAAAGGGCCAGTAGTAATGTTTTGGTTGTCATGAAGGCAGTCAGGTCTCTAGGTGGTCTCTGTGAGCAGATGGCGAGGTTCC